GGAGGGGGGAAGAGGGGGAGGAAAGATGGAGGGAACGCGGGGATTATATATATATATATATATATATATATATATATCAAAACGAGGACCAGGATGGCAGGGGAAAGCATACGCGCGCGAATTTGTGCAAATTCGTAAACAAACAATGCGTTTCCCAACCTGGTTTTCTCAAATTCGGCCAAACGGGCATCTCGCGCGCACGTGTCGGAACCATTCGGACGACCTTGCGCGCGTGCTGGATGGGTGGGGTGTGTGTGTGGGGGGGGGGGGGCACGACCACGACCTTTGTCAAATAACACCATGAGGGCCACTGGCGCGCGTCGGCCGCGCGCGCATGTCGACATCCTTTTCCGCAACCTTCGCCGCCGACGCAATGATACCACAAAAATGAATTTCACAACGTAGACTGTCCGGTCAAGAAAACACTTTGTATCTACCGCCCCCCGAGGCCAGGATGATCCGCCCCGGGGGATGTGCAATGTACATACGTTTTGCCCCATCGTTCACTCTAACTTTGAACTCATCAGATCTCAACCAAAACGGGATCGACCCCTCCATCATCTCATTAGACATCACCCCCAAAATAATGCGCCTACATTCGTTCACCACGAAATTCAAATTCCAAGAACCCCCTGCCAAAGCGAACGAAGTACACACGCGCCCGTCTTCGCGCGCGCATGACGAATGTCTGCTGAACAAAAAAAACCTGACATCCGTAAGGATTTCCGAATCGAATGTCCCGACAACGCGCAAACATCTGGCTTTGCAGCCTGAGTTTTCAAACGCAGATCAGCGCGCCCGCTCTTGCGAATTCTGCAATAAACGACAACTTCTCCAACCTTTTTTATCACATGCGACCAAACGGGCTTTTCGTGCGTTCGTGTCGGAATCATTCGAACGCCCTTGCGCGCGCTGGGGGGGCGGGGGGGGGGGGCACGGTCCCCGTCAAACAACACCATGTGATAGTATAGCGCCGTGCCTCCGTCACCGCCATCATCGCCACCAGCTTCTATCATCATCGTGTCTGCGCATTGTCGACGTCGCAGTGGTGCCGCCGACTCACTTACTCGCACTGAAGTGCCCGCGCGTCAACGCGGCCTGCGAGACGCGCTGGGAAGTGCCCAGCGGTCAGCGCCACCGCGGCCGCGTCGGTCGCGCCAGACAAGCTGGCCGCTATGTGCGCGACCCTGCGCTCCCCAACGCGGCCGCAGCGATGCGCCAGCCGGCGCCGCGCAGTCACCGCAATCGCAGCCGCCTGGGTTTTGCGAACCAAGTTGCGGGTGGGTGGGTGGGGTGACTGCGCGAGTAGTGGAAATGACTACTTCAAGTTCGGCAGGTCGACTTGCATCTCGTAGCTTCTCCTGTCTAAAGAAAGAGTAGACTCTACCCCCACCCGGAGTTGACGGGGCGCCTCTTCGTATTGCAATTTACTTATGACTCTGCCCCATCGCTCATC